GTGATTTTACTTGTTTTAGTGGCTATTCTGCTTCTTTTTGTAGTGATTTTACTTGTTTTAGTGACTATTCTGCTTCTTTTTGTAGTGGTTTTACTTGTTTTAGTGACTATTCTGCTTCTTTTTGTTGGGATTTTGCATATTTTCATGATGGTTTTCCATCTTTTTTTGCCAATTGTTGTCTTTTTATGATGATTCTGCATCTTTTTGTGGTGGTTTTGTGTCCTTTAGTGGCGATTTGACATCTTTTTGCGTTTTATGAGAACGCTGGAGGGCTGCTGATGATCTACCAACTAATCCACCTGCAGACTTCACACCTACACACAACAGTTTTAATGTTACCTGCTGCTCTCTGTTGGTGTTTCTGCTGCTTTTTTGCGCTCATATACGTTCTTCTGTCCCACCGTCTGTTGCTTTAGGACCAAATGTGCAGAACGTGGCCACAGCGGTGGAGGAGGTCTATCCTCTGCTGTTCGAGTGCAAGAAGCCGCTCTGCAAGTGAAGACCGAGAACTGGAGTCTGACGAGGAAGCACCTTAAGCTCGGATCGATTTATCACTACAGACTGGACCCGCTGGAGTCCTTCACGGTTTTAATGTTGTTGTTGGGTCTTTTTGGTTTTAACAGCCGGAACCTGCGAACGTCTTCCGGACTTTGAGCAGAAGCTGAGGACGTGTTTGCAGACAAACAGCTGAACTCGTTCCACGCTTCTCACTGCAGACTCTCCTTTTACCCTTCAAACAGCCAGTCGTCCCGTTTCTCCGCAGAATCTCCGTCCGTGGATCGATCGAAACAAGAATCTCTGCTTCACGCTTACCGTCGTTCAAAGAGACAAACGGCAGGCGGAGGAACAGAACCCGACCAGAGCTGAATCATCTCCAACTATTTAAAAAGAAATGCTCCGATTTTAGCTCGTTAAATGTGAATATTTTCTGTTTTCTTTCCTCCTCTGCGACAGTAAGCCGCAGATCTCGTCCTGGGAAACAGCGATCCACATCTAAAGAGACCAAACCACTCATCAGTTCGTCCAGAATAACCCAGACTGTTACACAAACCTGCTCACAGGATGCATTAATGTCTTGATTTTCTCGTTTGTTCGGTTATCGGTTTGTTATAAACGTGTTTATTTGGTTTTAGTTGCTAACGTTGGTTTTTAAACTCGGCTCGCAGGAATCTCGTCGGCTTTCACAGAACACACCTGCTGCTTTATTAACATTTAAAATGAGCTTTTTATTGGATGAAGTAGTTTTTTGAAACACAGTCCAAGAACCGCAGCAGAAACATGGATTGAAGAAGCGATTAGAAAAGCGTCTCACAGGTTCGTCGGGCAGCTCGTCAGGAGGCTTCGTGACACAGTTGTGAGTTTTTTTTCCCAGCAGCAAGGAGCTCAGATGGTCTAAAACACAAACATGTTCTACTGACGACGTGTACGTACAGAACCACAGAACCTGACAGAGGATGTGACGACTTTTTGAACCGGTGTCAGCCGAAGCTTCGTGACACTTGAATTTTTGTATTTTGTATAAAAATAAAGTTCTGCTGAAAAGGCCACAGTGTGCTTTACTGTCTGTTGTTCTGCTAGAACCTGATCTCAGTGCAGCAGGTTCTACTTCCAAACCCTGGAAACACATTTCTGCTTTAAAAAACATTTAAAAAGTGCAGTTTTAACTGACTGAAAACATTCCTCTGACTGTGTAAGTTTTGGCACCACTGACAAGTAAAAAAACACTTAAACTTCTCACAACACTGTTAGATTATCACGGCAGAGGTCGTGTTTGTGCCAGAACTCTCATTCCTGAGCGACTCTGCGTCATCGTGGCAACAGAACTGGTGCGACTGGTCTGGGCTCTGCCGGTCGACTGCAGCTGAGGAGGGGGAGGCGCTTTTATTGTGAAACGTTCAGGAATGAGTTTGACCTCCAGCAGAGCGAGCTGAACGAGCGGCAGTTTGTGCTGATCAGAGTTTGGTTTTTTACAGAGAGTCACGGCAGCAAACTGTAGTTATTCATCAACAAGGACAAAAAAAAAAAAAACAAGATAAAGACTGAAGGATGTTTGGGTTCATTCAAGGGGCCTCGAGAAAAGATGTAAAAACGTATAAACACCAGTGAGCCACAACATTAAAACCAGTAGGTGGACATATGAGGCTGCAGGTGTTGAAGCAGGTAAAATGTGCAGCGTGAAGGTCTGAGAGACTTTAACAAACCGTGATGGCAGAAAACCGGATCAGAACATCTCCAGCACATTTTGTGTTGTGTTTCCTGTATGTAGTGGTTAAAACGGAACAAAAGGACCACGAGGAGACGCAAAAGGAAACGAAAGAGGTGAAGAACAACCACAAAGAGATGGAAAAATGACCAAAAAAGAAACCATAATGAGATGCAAAACGACCACAAAGAGACACAAAACAAACACAAACAAACTGTAAAGAGATGAAGAACAACTACAAGAGACTCAAAAGATGCAAAGTCACCAAAACCCGCAACACAACTGACAACAGACCTGAAAAGTAGGACAGGATTGTGGACCAATCAGAGAGGACCACAAGACCCCTTCAGAGGCCTTGACCAATCAGAGAGGAGCCTGGCAGCTGGTTTTAATGTTGCAGCTCATACACATTTACGCTCTTATTGTTGTGTGATCATCTGATCCTGGTGTTGACCCTGAGTTTTCTGAATCTAACAACTCCCCAAACGCAGACGGAGCAGCTGCAGGCCGTGAGCCACTGTAGTTTAACTGTGATGGTTAAAAAGTCCGCGCAGCCGAAGGACTCAGACGTCGGCTGGAGTCTTGGTCCCGCTGTCCATCAGACTCTCTTTGGGCCGAACCTTCCTGCAGAGCCTCAGCTGGAAGTTCTTCCTGTCGGAGCAGAAACAGCAGAAACAGAATCAGACCCACAGATCGGCTCGCCGGCCGGATCAGACGACAACGTTGAAGCTGCTGCTCACTTCTTGGCCAGCTCTTTGGAGATCTCCTCCAGAGTTCGACCTTTGGTCTCCGGGACGCAGAGGATGATGAACACCAGCAGGACGAAGCTCATGGCAGCGTACAGGAACATGACGTTGGGAACGCCGATCTTCTCTGAAATCAGCAAAAACGTGTTCTTAGATTTCTGCAGGATCAGCATCATCAGCACGATGTTGAATGTTGGAAATGGCTCAGAATTGTGCAGTAGTTTCTTTTTTAATTTGCAAAACTGACAAAATCCAACACGCAGTGGCTCAAAAATGTCCTCAGTGACCAAAACATCGGACAAAATGGCTTTAAAATGCCCATAATGATTAGAAACGTGTTCAAAATCACTTAAAAATGGTCAAAAATGGTTCTAATGTCAAGAATGATTCAAGGTTCTCCAAAATGACAAAAACTTGTTCAAAGTGACAAAAACTTGTTCAGACTTACTCACAAAATGTTTAGAATGACATAAAAAAATTCCCAAATTATCCAAAAATTATAGAAAAATGTCATGCTGAACAAAACTACAGTCACGTGTTCAGACCGTGGTCGCAGTCAGGATCAGGAATCATCTGACTCTGAGGAGCTCAGGCTGATTTTTCGTGTCTTGATTCACTCGTTGGTTATTAATTACAGCCACCATGAAACCAACCTGTGATGGTGAGGAAGGTCATGGAGATGAGCAGGTTGGTGGCCCAGTTCACAGCCGACACCACAGAGACAGCTCGACCTCGAACCCCCATCGGAAAGATCTCGCTCAGGACCACATAGACCACTGAAGAGGACGTGAGGGGACAGAACCAATGAAAAGACAGGAAAAACTTGTCAAGACGAGTAGTGATGATGTTTACACATGTAAAGTTCATGTTCATCATGTCAGTCTTCAATCTCCAGTGACTCCTACAACTCTGAATGTTCTCTGATGGAACGACTGAAACATGAATCTTTGTCACTAAAACAATCCTGTATTTTGGTTCTTTCATAGATTCATTAAAGTTCTTCTGGATCAATAATACACAGACAGTATTTCTAACATCTGGTTAAACGTCCATGTCCTCCTCAGTCGGGTTCTTCTGGTCTCCGTCCACCAGCTTCTGGTTCATCTCTGACTCCTCTGGACAGAATCGCTGCAGTTCAACTAAACTTGTCGTCTTTCTGACTCAGACTTGTTTCTTCATCAGTCCACAGGTTCTGGATGGTTCCAGTCAGGACTTTGGGGAGACCAGTCTAGAACCTTCATTCCAGCCTGATGGAACCATTTCTTCACCACTTTGATGTGTGTTTGGGCTCATTGTCTGGTTGGAACATCCACCTGTGTCCAAGATCAACCTTCTGCTGATGGTTTGAGGTTTTCCTGAACAACATGGAGGTGATCCTCCTTCTTCATTGTTCCATTGACTTTGTGTAAAGCTCCAGGTCCACTGGCAGCAGAACAGAACCAGAGCATGATGCTGCCACCTCCATGCTTGATGGTAGGTTTGGTGTTCTTGCGGTTAAAGGCCTCACCTTCTCTCCTCCAGACAGTGTTTGTTCCATCTGACCACAGAACTTTTCTAGCTCTGTGCTGAGCTCCTCAGACTTTCCCACTGTAGTGTTTGTGTCTGAGTCTAATGAGTGGATCAGATGGTTCTGTTTAAACTGGATCAGAGGAGTCAGCAGCTGGAGTCGATCAGAACCACTCAGGAGAAGTTAGGAGGCCATGAAGCTAAGAAGATGTGATCAACACAACTTTCTACATAATCAGCACTGATAATTCTGGGTAGAACTCTGGTCATTAGATAAAGCTACTGCAGATAAAGAACCAGATGTTCTGGAGGAGGTTCGGGAGGAACTCTGGTCAGATCTACTTGACTTTATGTGGTTAACAGTCGGTAATACAGTTTGGCTAAATGCTAAAGCTGGACAGCCGACTGCGGCGCGCTGACATGCAGATCTGCAGCACTTGTTTTAAAGACACACTGAGGGTGTATTTGGGTAAATATTGTCTCAGTTTGGACTTACTTGGCCCCAGGCTGATGGAGAAGGCTGCCACATACAGCAGCAGGCTGATCAGAGACGCCCACTTCAGTGACGAGGACACCTCCACAGGAGTCCTTCCTCCTGATTGGTCCTCCGTCCTTGCTGCCTCCTCGCCGCGCCACTCAGTCTGGAGGTGACTAGGAAGAACGTCCATGTCGTCCCAGTCCAGAGCGGTTCTGTTGAAATCCCACAACATGTGTGTGTGGTTCAGTTCAGTCTGGCTTTTACAGAGGCTGGTCAGGTGGGTGTGGCTCTGCAGCGTCAGAGTGCCGAGGGCAGCCAAAGACATCCCCATCGCCACGGCGCCAACGCACAGGAAGCTCTTTGGTCCGACCCGGTCCACCAGCAGCACGGCGGGGATGGTGAAGACCACCTTGACCACCCCGAAGCCGGTGGAGGCCAGCGTGGCTGCGGCGTCGCTGTTGAAGCCGACGCTGCGGAGGAGCGGCGAGGCGTAGGACAGGATGTTGGGCTGCCCGGTCGCCTGCTGCAGGAACACCAGAGCTACACCCGTCAGCAGGCGGAGCCGCAGGTTGGCTTTGCTGCTGAACAGCTCCCAGAAGCTGTGCTCCGACTCCTCCTTCAGCCCCCCCTGGATGTCCCTGAGCTCCACCTCCACCTGCTCCGTGACTCCGCCCCTCATCCTGGCCAGCACCGCCCTGGCCTGCTCCACCTTCCCCTGAGCCACCAGGAAGCGAGGGCTGGGCGGCAGGAACAGCAGCGCACCGATCTGCAGCAGCGCCGGTGGGATGACCAGCCCGAAGGTGTAGGCCCAGCCGCGAGGCAGCGCGGCGAAGGCGTAGCTGCAGCCGAAGCCCAGCATCACGCCGACCACCAGCATCAGCTCGTACAGCGTCACCAGCAGGCCCCGCCTCTCCCGCGGAGAGATCTCTGCGATGTAGAGGCATGCCGCCGTCCCAGACAGGGAGGTTCCCATGCCGACAATCACCCGGCCTGCAGTGAGTGCAGCCAGCGAGGTGATGGCGACGAGCACCAAGGTCCCTCCGACCACCAGGGCGGCGCTCAGCAGCAGAGAGCAGCGGCGGCCGTAGTGGTCGAGGATCGGACCTCCGGCCAGGCAGATGAGCAGAGCGCCGAGCAGGTGGGAGCTGACCAGCAGCTCCTGCTCCCGGCAGGACAGCGACAGGACGCCTCGCAGCTGCAGCAGGACGCCGGAGGTCAGGCCCATCTCATAGCCCAACATCAGGCCGCTGAGCGACGCCGCCACCGCCGCCACCACCACCAGCCAGCTGCATCCTGGAACAGAGACTCAGTCAGAGAGGAAACGCACAAGTTCTGTAGTTGACTGCACACAGACAAACAAAGGTGCTGCCTGGAACCAAAACCTGAAACTTGAAACAAACTTGATCAGGTCATCTCTACTGAATAGTTCTGCAACACATTAATAAAACCTGCGTCTTTGCCTCCAGTCTGTTTCCTCATGTTCTGTAGGTGGAACCTTATCCTGAAGTAGAACCCTGCCTAAACGCGAGTTAGAGGGTAGATGTAGAGTTAGAGGGTAGATGTGAGGTTAGAGGGTAGATGTAGAGTTAGAGGGTAGGATGTTCTGAGGCTCCAACAGATGGAGTAAACCTGTATTCTCTACATGTCAGTAAAGGTATCATGGACCAGCTGCAGTACCTGGTTGTTCCACCAGGTGGAGCCTGTAACTGTTTAATCCTGTAGAGACCAGAGGAGGCGTCACTCAGACTACAGCTCATGGTGGCAGCAGAGAGCATTGTGGGAGTTTAGCAGCAACCATGACAGATACTCTGAAGAGGTTCATGACCTCCAACCAGAGCTGATGGGTTTTAATTCAAACTGTGATGAATGTTGTTCCTCTTTTGTCAATATCACAATGATATTCTATAAAACCATCTGCATATTCCAGGCTGAAGTAAAAGTCGATAAAATTGAGCGCTGACGTGCACGTGTGGTTCCCTATTTTATTATTAAAACCAGTTGAAAGTGTGATAAACCTAAACTTTTATTGTGGAATTGAATAAGTTAGTTTTGGATGTTTTTCTATCTACAAAAAGAAAAAAGAACAAAGGTGCAGAAACTGATACAGCTAATGATTATCTTTACTGTCGGCTAATCTCTAGAATATTTTCTCGATGACTCGAACAGCTGCTTAAAAAATGTGGACCAGAGTTTCCTCAAATGTCCTGTTTTGTCTGAAGATCTTCAGTTTGCTGTCATGGAGGAGGACAGAAGCTGCAGACACAGAATTTAGATGCTTTTTAATTTTAAAAAGTGATTCACAGATGATCTAAATCGCTGGAGGTTAACTAAACACATGAATGGCTGAGGCTCCTCTCCGCAGATTCACGTGTTTTCTTGTCTTTAGTGGGTCAGATGACGACACCGTGACCGGAGGTAATCAGATAAGAGGTCACATTTCTAATCTTCTGCTGCCACCGACCCGTCTGACGAGCTGCTTCAGTGTTTCTGGTTTTAAACCTGAAAGTGTTTGAGCGTCGCTTTGCTTTCATTTGGTAAATCGTACGTCTCCAGCCACGTTTCCATCCTGAAACACAACATCCTGCACATACACTCCTTTGTTTAGCTGCTGTGTTCACCCAGCGGGTCGAGGCCGAGGTCCGCTCTGCCTGGACCTGGTTCTGCTCAGGTCACTCAGGAGCTGCTCAGAGGGAGTCTTGGTTTGTGTTTTTTCTCTGTGATATAGTTCTGTGGGTCTCCATCTTCCTATCTGACGTGTGCTGCGGTGATGTTGTGTTAAATACAGATTTAGAAATAAAGTTTTCTGTCAGTTTCTTTGCAGAACTTTTCCTTCTTCAGCTGTTTTTCTGAGTTAAAGCCGGGTTCTGCTGTTGGGTTCTTCGTCGTCACTTCACTTCCTTCTGGATTATGTGTTGACTTTACAAACGCAGCTTCTGCACTAAATAACAGCGACTCAAACGTGTGTTTTGACCTTTGGGGTGAATTTTGACGTTTTTATTACTTCATATTTATTAAAACAACTGAATGCATCTGTTGATTTATTATAAAATGTTTGTGTTTTTGTAGAAGATGCTGTAATTAGTTCAAAATAAAACCTGCAGCTGGTCTGATTATTATTTTCAAAAGCTGGAAATAATTAATATGAATAAATTACTTTCTCCGTTTCAGATTCTGCTGGCTTTTCTTCCTATAAACTCATTCTGTAGGTCTTCCTGTTGAAGTTCTTGGATGTTTTATGTTGTGAACTGATTTAAATACAGCTTTAGAAATAAATAGTGATGCTGTTTTTGTGATGTTGAACCTGTTAGTGACGTTTCTCTTGATTGTTTCCACCAGTCTAGTGTGAATTTTGATGTGTTTTCCTTTTCTTTTTTTACATATTTATGGCATGTTTGGGATCATTTAACAGATCTTTTCCTGTCTATTAGCTGAGTTGCTGTAACTGTTGATGCTGAACCTGTTGGTGAAGAACACAGCAGGGGTCCTGATAATCATTTCCAGTGAAGCTTCGGCTTTTCTGCATGAAGCCGCTTCGGCATTGCTGAGTGTGAAGAACTAAAGGTCACGAAGAACGCTGAAGTAATGAAACGAGCTGATTAGTGAGCGTGGACGGCGGCGCTGATAGCGGACTGATGACACCGGCTTTTACTGCACACTCAGACGTGATAAGTTTGACCTGAGCGGCAGCTATTGATCCTTTTATCGGTTCGGTTACACCACAGAGTCGCAGCGTTCACCTCTACATGCAGCTGCTGGAATACAGGACAATGCACTTTAGTTCCTGTTAGTTGAACCTGCAGCTCTTTCCTGTGATACACCTGAACTCTGAGTCAGTACAGGTGTAGCTCCCTCCTAGAATAGATGGAATAATGTCAAAGTGCTGGAATCAGTCAAAAACGGTGGCAGCGAGGGAGCCACAAAAATAGGTTAAAAAACAATTAAATAGTGAAGCGTTTAAAAACCGTGACAGTGATGGTAAATATCTATTTAAAAATTTTTAGCAGATTTAAATCCAGCAAAGCAGTTTCATGTTACAGGCACATGCTGTCATAGAACAAGGTCCTGTTAGTGAAACACTGGTTTCTTATGTGGACGTTATTCACAGGTTTGTTTCAGTCAACACGTGAACTAAAAGTTATTATCTGTCATCTAACAGAAAAGCCCTGCAGAGGACAGTCAGAGGAGCTGAGAGGAGCATCAGAGTTTCCTTCACCTCTGTCTGTCCAAGAACTTCTCCAGAGCAGGACCCTGAACATTGTCAGCGACTCCTCACAGCCGCTCCATGAACTGTTTGAACCGCTGCCATCGGGCAAACGTTTCCGGAGCGTTAAAGGAAGAACCTCCAGAGTGTCAGATGCTAAACTGCTGATCCAGACATGCAAACACTTGTTTATTTAAATTGCTCTAAGTCACCGGATCCTGAAGAAACTCTCTCTTATCTTGCCTGAACTACCGTGGATGAACCAGAGCATGACAATAAACTGGATTTGATTGATCTGATATGACATCCATCATGTTTGTTTTCAGTCATCCACCGGCGCTGGCGGTCACGCTGACCGGACCGAGCCATAAACACGTTTATCTCCATCATAAATCAGCATCTGAGGTCGAGAAGCTCCTCTCACGAAACCGATCATCGATTCAGCAGCTTTCTGACCCAGTCCTGGAGGGAACCAGTCAGAGACCCGGTTCAGCAGCACGTCCAGCACTGGCCCAGTTCACCTCAACCTGGTTCTACATTAGAATGTTCAACGACTTCATCTGCAGGGTTTGGAAAAAATCCAAGAATAATGTCTGTTTGGAGAGAAATGATGGTTCTGTTGTTGAGTTTATCTGCAGACAATAAAGTGACTAAAGTTTTAATGAGCTGTTTATTCCTCTCACGAGTGTCAACCGGTTGTTTTAGAAGAAAGCTGTTGACATGAGGGCCGTGGAGCATTAAGTTGTCCTTCAGCATCAGTGTCACAGACCAGGAGACGCTTCATGTTTACTGCATTCTCGTAAAATTACGACTTTATTCCCGACGTCTGTGGAAAACTAGTAACACTCTGTTGTATGTTCTACCTCTGACAGCAACACCTGAAGTAGTTTTTATATGGAGCTACATGTCTATGAAGATCCTCAGTCCTCCAGGTCATGGTTATTCTCCTAGATTAATCATAGCAACTGGACTTTCTTGAGGACGTTCCACCTCTCATCCAAGAGGCTTCATCAGCTCTGACTGACTAGTTGGGAGTTCCACATACTGATATCCTTAAGGAGCCATTAACACCTGAGTTTGGGTTTCAGTTGGGGATTTGTTGCTCCTCCCCCTCCTTATGTGGGTCGTTAGTGCTCCCCCCTGACACAGTGGGGCTCGTTAGGGCAGGGGTCTCC